CGTTTCTCCGCCTAAATCCGTCCACAGCCCTTCGCAACCACAGCTTTGTTGACACTCCCTCGATCTCTCCTTATCTCCCTCTCTCTCTGCAGAGCGACGCGTATGCATGCTTTTGGCCAATCAATCAAAAATATCAACAAAACTCGCTTGTCCGAGGCTCTCCACCGAGTACGGCCGGTAGGCCACTGGTTGCGACACATCATGCCCATCCGACATGATACAGCAAACTCAGCCAGCTACATACTTGTAGGCCAAATGGCAGCAACAGACAAGCATCATGCACCTCAAACCGCAGTCAAACACAAAAGAAATCTTGGAGACATCTTGTGCCACAAAGTCCTTGGGAAGACCATGAGTCCATCCTCGTCTCTTCAGGGTACACCTCACCTGGGTGTGAAGATCTGGCCGGCATGAGGAAAGCTATGCCTGATTGTGCCAAGGGTCCAATGACGATTTCTCTGCTAGCGCAGATAATCGAAGGCTGATGAGAGTCTCATCCACCGCCTGTGTAAGGACAGAGCACATGAACTTTTTCTGGCTGTTCTTCTTGCTCAAGATGCCTGCGGGGCAGCCACAGAGAGAGGGGTCAGGAGCTCCTGCTTGGATTTGCATGGGCTGACATGCTTGGCCGAATGTTTGGGCGTCTGGCGGGTTCAGGCACACCGAGGAAGCGACCATCAAAACAGGGTCACGACTGATTTGTTGTCAGGCTTAAGGCTTAAGGGTTGGGGCGTATCAAATGGCGCTCTGAAACCTGCACAATTGGGCCACTGCCATTTGCAAGCCACTTGCTCTTTGCACACACGTATGGAAATGCGAAAGCTGAATCAGTCAGATTTGTAGACTCATGAATTCCATCTCGCGTAAATTCCCCCTCCTGCCTTTCCATGTCCGCGGTCAAACACAGGTGACGATGTCTAGCCAAATGCAGCCCCGCTCGGTTCAGCGAGCACATGCTCAGCCAAGACTGCTCATCAACCCTGGACGCGACGATCCCCAATCAAATTAGCCTTCTCCCAAAGTTCTAGCATTGATCAAGGTCCTGGAGCTCTCGCACATGGACCAACTCGCGGCCCCTCAAACGCTCCGAGAAGGCGCAGAAGGAGAAGAAGGCCATTGATACCCTGGGCGCGGAGAGCTGCACAAGCACCAGGCGTTGGCACGCTGATCCTACCATGGCACTACTTAACCTAGTGCGGGAAAGTTAAAATCTTTTTCGAAACCTTCTCTGAGTTGGCTCTGCTTCGGTTTGCACGCCGGCGCAGCTTAGTCAAGTCTTCTCATCGTGCTCTGCCCCAGATTCAACAAGAAAAGCGACAGCTGATACAGACTGCACAGAACAATACTCAATGGCACTCGCGCCATAAAAACAAGCACAGACTATAATCGGTTTCTTGTTGTCCGGAGACCGCCATCAGCGGCTGTCAGAGGCACGGAGCAGTAAAAGCAGTCACCAATGGTCGATGCATCCTGCCAGCAGGCCTTCACAGTGCAAGTTTCCAGAAGTTGCATCATGATCCTTTGAACTGCCCTATTCCGGGCACATCTTTTGGGGTCCCCGACTTGGAAACTCTGATCATGGTGTAGTAAATGCGGTAGCTGAACTGCAACCACACAAGACATGGCCATGAGAAAGGTCAAAGCCAGCGATTAAGCGAGAATCGCCTGCCTCAAATCAACTATTTGCTTCCCAATATCTGCAGAACGTGCAAGCAATTTGTTCGAAGTCAGGCATCATCAAGCAACAGTAGCCTGCAATGCCTGTGACACAGCTACCTGTCGACCATGCTCAGCATTGATCTTGGAGGAAGAAGTCTTCAGAGCATCCATATGTATACAACTACGCATCACACATGTGGCCTAACCCGTTATTCGCATAGCATTCTAGGAGTTGCTTCACACAAGGACACCGACCAGTATCCTAGGACATTGTCCCGCGACAAACCAAGCTGCGGAAGGTAACGCGCCTCCGGCAGACGTCACGCAGCAAGAGGCTGGAGCCATCTGAAACATCTTCCAACCTATATAAAGAATCAAAATGGAAGCCGCACACAAAGCCTGATGTCAGAAAAAGAAATTGCAAACCAACAGGCTTAGGTGCTAGTAGAAGCATTTTGCCGAAGTCAAGCTTCGATCAGTCGTCCGTTTGACGAGAACCCGCAGCTAGTGGGCCGCAGATAAACTGTCGAAGTACTCCTGCAATTTCACCCACTTCTCGACATTGTCTGGGCTGTGGATCAGGTGATGGCGTCTGGCAAACTTGACCCAGGGACATTCGTGGAATTCGGCAAGCTCAGCAAGCTCTGTGGAAGCTGGGATGCCCGTGACGCACGCATAAGCTCTGGACAGAATCAGCGCCCCGAACAGCACATTCATGCCGAGAAGGATGTAGCAAGCAGCAAGACACACAGCGGCCTCTGTCGGCATGTGCCCTCCACGCAAGCTTCTTGCTAGCTAATGAAGCTGGGTTGCTACACTTGGGCCACTGGTATGGCAAGGGCGGATGAACACCAGGAGCATACAACTTCCAGACCGCAGCAGGTGTTGCGTCAAGCGCTCTCCCGAATGCGCCAAGGCTCGAGAAAGACCACAGGATGATGAGGAAGGCCCCTGCGCGGCTTTTTTTTGGTGAAATTCATGGCTTGCCTGCCCCCTCTTCTCAAGACTTCTATTGCGTCCAGGCAACCCCACAGCTGTATCTCCAGCTGGCCCATAGCCTAGCAACTTGGTCAACAGCCTAACGCGACCCCTTCCTGAGAGAGATGTGTATGGTTGAGATAAGCAGCTGTGTGACTGGCAGAGCAAAACCGTGCCTCGGCCACACGGAAAAAATCTAGAAATGAAAAGCTAGCTTCAAGTTTGTAAGCATCGCTGGCCAATGGCAGCATCCTGCTTGCAAATCCAAGCCGAAGCCTGTAAGCCTGTACGGTGCCGCTGCAACACCAAATCGAAATTTAGTCAGGCATCCTCGGCAGCAGTTGGGTGGCGCACCTGGGGATGGGTGAACGCAGGGCTTCATCGAATCTTGCTCTCGCAGTCTTTGGAGTTGTCAGATTAAAGCAAAGCCGGCCTTTTTTCCCCTGCTACTGCTGATAAGTTTGACAGCAGCTTGGGCAGGATTTCCAGGTCAAGGCTTGTCTGACAGCCAAGACAAACAAACACCTTCTTGTGCTCTTTATGCACTTGAAGGCTGTCACTAACAAGTTGTCAAGCCAGAGATGACCGCGTGGAATCAAGCATGTTCTGCAGGAGCGATCGCCACGGAGTTGCACCTGTTCCTGTTGATGTTCGCGCTAAGTACTTGGTGACGGTGGATAGGTGCATTCGGCGCAAGGCACGCAAGGCATCCACACATTCATCATAACCCCTTTGCAAGTGACCCGCCCAAGCACTCCCAAGAGCTTTACGACCCCTTATGAAAGCAGGGAGGGGCTCAAGGTCCTGCCAGCGAATCCGAAAATCCAGCACCATCTGGCGATGCTCTGCAGGCATGTACATGAGCATCTCATCCTGGAAAGCGCTGCCTTGACCGGTATGAGAAACGGCCAGGAAACTATCAAGCAAAAGAATGACGGTACTTTGCCCGGCGCTTGGTCCCTTGCTAGTGTTCAGCAGGGAACCGCGTTCATTTTTCACACAAGACACCGACAGGCTTGTCTTGTCCAGTGACGCTACTTGAAGTCTCACCCCCTCAGGGTGAAATCCGTTGAGCAGGGGCCGATAGACATCGTAGAACACATCCCTGTCTACCGAACCTGGGATCTTCTGAAAGAAGTGTTGGAACTGGCTCACGACATCTGCCAATTCCAACAGAAGCTCGACAAGCTCCTCGTCACACTCACTTCTTACTAAGATATCGGCCAGCATCAACTTTGGCAGCACTTCACCAGCAGCTGCCTGCATGGCACACGGCACCATGTGAAAAGCCCGTTCTGTGTTTGTACCCGTGAGGGAAATGCGCTGCGCCAAATTGTCTAACGTGAAGCCGCCAGAAGCATCTTTCAGTCGCCAGTTCCAAAGGTCAGTAGCTGCTGCCGTCAGGACGGGGGGCATGCGTAGCTGGGCACAGACCTGTAGCCAAGGTTCTGCAACCTGAGATGGCAGGCATTTGGACGGATCTGCTTCCACCCGGCAGCCACCCAGGCGATGCCAAGGGACTGCATGGCGGTGGACATAGGAATGCGCAAGGGCTCCGAGGAGAAGGAAAGCCCGCTGAAGAACCTCCTTCGGTGCACCTTCCAAAGCATCCAAGCATTTGGCATCCAGCTGCGGGAGCGACTCCACTGCTTCTGCAAGGCGGCCCGAGCGATTCAGCTCCGGAAGCTGATCGGCCAGAACCTCCCAGTCTTCGAACTCTTTCGGAAGCCGCTCCAGGCAGCGTGCAGGCAGAAAACCCTGACGGCTCAAACCGTACTGGGAGCACACTGATGCCACCTGTGCCAACACATCCTTGTGCTTACACTTTCGCTTTCGCCACAACGCACCACGCAGCCGCCGCTTTCGCACCCACAGCGGCAGAAGAACGGCAAGCAGCCCTGCACAAGCAAAGCTCCAGTTGCTCCATCGCCCTCCTAGGCGCATCTTGCCGTTACAGAAGTAGATGTATGTAAACATATTTTTTGAGCGTAGATAAATACACGAACAATTATTCATTGATGCAAAGGCACTTGAAATTACGTTTCTCACAGAATTATGGTGACGACTCCATTGCCGCTTCCCACGTGCTGTTGCACACATGATGTCTCGCTTCTGATGATTACTTGCATCCTCCAGGCCCATACGCATGCTCGACTGGTGACGTGTAGCTGGAAACATATACGTTCCCCATGGGCTGCATACTTGATCATGACTGGTTAACCATTTTTTCTCGGACGGCCTTCACTTCAGAGCCTGGAATTCAAGCCCCATCAGCCAACGTAGCAATCAATGGGCGAAGGGCGCGGATTCACCAGAGGCCAACGTTCCTGGTCCAGCCAGACAGACTCATCGACAAGAGATGCTTTACAGCTGCTGGCCCACCAGGTGAAATTGGCAATGCTGTGGTGACCCAGCAAGCCCCCAGTGTTGAAAGCCGAAATTAAAATGGTCTATGCACAGCACAACTTTTCTAAAGCAGCTCCCAAAGCCAAGTCCAATCAGGGGACGACATGCGCTATGTTTGTCTAGCGCATTCCCACAACTTTTTGACAAAACTGCACACTTTATCTTGGCGTAGCATGAGTGCTGAGGATTACCCCGTGTTTGAACTGCTCACTATGCAAAGGCTGCATGCAGGGCATTTTGATTTGGCCTGGGGAGGAGCTTCAGCAGCCGCAAAATGTCACTTGTTTAACAAACAGCAGGAAATAGAGAAAGACTTCAGAAATCTCATCATGTGCAATGTACAGCACATGATCACTTTGGCTCGTGCATGGCCAGGAAAGGCCCTCTTCGAGTCGCAGTTGCCTCTTCCCAAGTCGGTCCGCACTGGCCCGAAGGTTCCCCCACCCGTCCATGCTGCAAGACCCTTCACTTCAAAAGCGCTTTGTCAGGATACCTCGATGCGGTATCCACCACAGAGCGCTCAAGCCCAAGCCGACATCATGTGGTCAAGGGCCCACAGACAAACACTCGATTCTGTATGCAGTTGGGCTATTCAAAAGTCACACCACCATGAAATTTGCCCTGCAGACCGGGCAAGCTCTCGATGCCCGACGTTTGGCCACCGTCCATGCCATGATGCAGTCCTTGCCGGATATCATCCCCTACCACCTTCATGTCTAGGGACTGCTGCTGTTTCCCTACCTCAGAGCAAGCATATTGATAGCCTGCCTCGTGGAAAATGTGACCGCATGGAAGAAGGGCAACGACTGCTGAAGCCTGTCAAGATATACAAGAGCTCAATGCGGGATAGAAACGTTTGCGCACAGAGCAACTTCCATGCAGAAACGTACACGGGCCTCGAAATCTTCGAGGCAGCAGAGGCACGTGCTTTGCGTGTTCTGGTCTCCAGAAGCTCCAGCAAAAGCTGGGTCGAGCACTGACCTCATAGGCAAGTTGCCGTGCTGGCCCCGAGAGACTTCGCATCTACCGAGGCTTCCTGCGACCAAGCTACGCCTTGTCCGAGACCGTCTTTATTGGTCCTTCAACAGGGTCTCGCAGCTGAACCTGCATGCAGTGGAAGTCGTGCATGTCGTGCTTGCTGCCATGCAGCGCGTCCTTGGAGACAAGCTCTTCAAGAATATGGCATGGGCAGCTCTCTACTCATTTACGCGCTACTACTCACTGTACTGCTTGGGCTGCATTCCCTCACGCAGTTTGTCCAAACGACTGCTAAACATGTATCTAGGGGTACCCTAATGTGGGTCGCATACAGATGAAGAGCATAGAGAACTGTCGCCCACAGACGCCGCCGGATGTCTTGCTTCCTCAGTCAACGTCAGTACAAGTAACGAGCGCCTCTAAGCACCTTTCACCAATTCTTCAGCTTGCATGGTGCCAAACTTCAGGCAAGGCTCGGAGCGGTTTCTCCCTGCATGCTCTGCATCAGCTCGGATCGGCAGCGCTGCAGTCGCATGCGAACAAGCGTCCCCATGAAGATCATCAAACAGGAGCTTCCGATGATCTCCTTCCGAAAAGGTTCCAGCCCAGGGATGGAGACCGTGAAGGGCAGCACTAGGCCCATGCCGATCAGCCAACAAGTGAACTTGCTGAGGGGCTTGATAAGCACCAACTTGCGATCATTTGGGGTGTCGGCTGCTGGTGGAGAAACTTCGCCGACGTCAATGGCAAGGGGAAACCCGTCCGGTCGACTGAAAGCCGTTTCGACGTCACCATGGCTCATGACTACCTGTACCACTTAACTCGGCGCAGTCAGTGGGTAGACACTGTCATTGGCACTAGCTGTGAGTCAAGTGCTGGCTGGATCACACTAAGCTCAACAACCCTCTCAGCAGGCCCTCCCTAGTCTGAGCCACCTTTGAGACATGCACAGCGGCGTGACGAAGAGCTACAGTAGTCGCTAGCTAGTCTTACATGCTGAACCATCGATTGAGCTCAGGCACTGAATCGAGAGCTTTGCAGTCTGGCTTGCAAAACGCTGTCGCCAACACACCTTGGATCACAAGCACCGACGATGAATCACCTGCGCCCTTCTTTCACCACTTTCCGCCATGGCACCCAAAAGGCCCGACCTTGGCCCCGCTTCTCACATCTTCCCATTGCAGCTTTCTTGCACATGCTCTCTCATGCTTGCCAATGCTCGCCGAATTCGGATGACTTGGCCGTCCAAGTGTGTGGCCCTGCGTGGACGGAAACTGCGTCGACTGGATCGTCAATTTGGGCCCACCGCATGGCACGTGAGCATGTGGGATAGACCTGGGTCAGGCAGAAGAAGGCATGCCGGGGGTAGATCAGAAGCAACCAACTTGCGCAAAGGCACCAGCAAACCGCTTAGCAAGCCGATTACCGCGCTTGCCGTTGGCGTAGCAACATCGCACGGAGCCGTTATGGCGACCATACCACTCAGAACCTGCTCTGTAAGATCTGCAAGGCAAACAAACGAAGGCAAAAGCTGCCAAGGCATGATGCCGAACGTCGAGCTGAGCCACAGACCCCATTGCACAAGAAGCCTGCAAGCCGCTCTGAGTCAAGAAAAGCTTCTGAATCTAGAGATGTTTAAAGACCGCTCAGAAACGTAACACGACTGACACCCTTTTTGGCCCGCGTCACGTCTGGCATTTGCCGACGATGATTTCCAGCTCTTCATCATTGGAAGAGCGGCGTTTGCATTGAGCATCCAGAGACTTGTCGTCTCCCCAGCCAAGGTAGACCAGGGATGCGGCCAAATTGGCGATGCTGCCTGTATTCGCAACGAACGCAACACAGGAACATCCAAAACCAAAGCAGGAGCTGTGAACTTGCTATCGCGCAAAGCACACTGAGCTTCCAGATTTCGTTTGAGATAAAGATGAGAAACATGATTGCGCTAGCGCACCCCGCGGCTGAGAAAAGGGCTAATGGAGTTTTCGCACGTGACCTTATAGAAGCAACTCGGCAGTTGCGGTGTCCTTTCTTTCTGGAGCGGTGCGAGTTGGAGCATTTTATTTGCATCCCGAACTTGACACCACATCGATTGGCTTACGGACGCGAAGGTCCAAGAATCCAAAGGAGATACCAGCTCGTATCCATTGATAACTTCGCGGCACGTGATAGCCGAACTCGCTACTGATGCCTTCAGTATTTCCTTAGATGAGAAAACTCGATCACGAGCTTCGGAGCCTCGCTTGCATAATGTATCGCGCAGTGCATTTCGTCCGCCTGTCATGCAGCATGGGTTTGGGCCACCAGCCTGCAGCGAAGACCAGTGACCAGGAGTTGTAGGAGTCAAGCAAGGCCTGGCAGAGAGATGGACCGTGCACGGGCAGACTCGCTTCCAAGAGTCACAAGCAGGTTTAGAATTCATTCGCCTCCGTCAACGGCTGCCCCACAATCCCTGGAATAGATGCCACGGAATTCGAGATACCCATCAGGGTAGGGGCAGATTGAGGACAAATATCAGCCATATTTACCCAGAATGCCGCCGTCCTCGCATACGCATGATTGGCCGTAAGTTGTGAGTTGTGATGCCATGCAGGCTCTGGGGTATGACAGGTGCAAATTGAAACTGCCACCAGGAAACTGCATGCGCCCAAAAAACAGCGCCACGCTCATCCAACAAGTTGCCCAGGAAGCGGAAGTTGCACGTGCCGAGAGTTGCATAAAGAAACCGAGTCCTAGGATGACTTCCGCAAAAATTGCAAGAATAATGCCAAACGACCACAACAAGGCTACTGCCAACTGCATTGCACTGCATTCAGCTCGTATATTGTGCGGAGGCGCCCACGGTGGCCAGGAACTGAACGCTTTTCCGCACGTGCCGGGTCTGGGCACCACGCATGATTGCCGCATCACTGCAGCGCCCAGCCAGGTTGACTCCAGCAACCGCGGCAAGATAGGGCACTGCTAACATGTACCTCTCCATGTACAACCACAAAATGAAGCTCACCAATCTGGCACATGCTGTCCAAGACTCGGCTTCTGTTGCAGATTCACGCCATGCCGCTCTGCAAAGTATGTTGGCATCCACGAAAGGACCACATACCAGACCTTGTTGCAGTACCCTGCATGCTGGAACAATCGGAAACACTGCTAACCTGCATGAAGATCTGCGCGCTCAGGAGGCGACGTAATTACAACCACAATGTGCGCTCACAATCGCCCACACCTTCTTCTCCAACCACGGCACGAACAGACCGGCACTTAAAGAAGCTCGCATCCAAGGCGCAGGTGCTGCTCGGAGTAGCCTTGCGGGTAGCGGACCCTCAGCGGAGTCGATTGGAGCTGCTCCTGCAGCAGAGCTTGCCAAGTGCACCACTTGCATAAGCGTCCTTGCCACAATCAAAGTTTTAAGACCACTGCTTGTAGCTGAGGGCCGGGCCGCGGCTAGATGTGATCCAAGCAGCCTACCAGACGGAGAAGCCCTCGGAAACTTGCCAAGACCAACGTGAATAAGAACAGCCGAGGCTGGGACTTGCCTCTCCCGATGCACAGCAGGCATCATGGCGCTCTGGTGCCACAGCGCCAACCCCCGCGAAAATGCAGCTCCAAACCAAGGCTAGGCCTGACCACATGAGACGTCTGAAAGCGTAACTCAGACCTCAACGCTTCTGGCCTCCCCAGGACATGAAGACCGCCAAAGGGCCCCAATGGAGAAGCAGCGGAGAAAGAAGATTTGCTGCAAGGGATCCAAACTCCTGCGAGACTTTGGAAGTTGGAAGCATGTTCCACGTGTCGACGTAAGTGCAACGGCAGCCGTCCTGGCCAGAGCTCATGGCAGCCACTAGCGTCGCACGCTCCATGGAGGGAACCCATACATTGGCCACCGCCATCTGCGAGGGGAAAACAAAGCCTCAAGAGCACATGGCAGAGGATCCGCCTTCATGCGGCATAACAGACAAGGGGATCGGATCTGGCCAGGGAACCTTCACCCATACCAACTCCGACACGTCCCGCATAAAGAGCTGAAAGGCCATACATCGCGAGGAAAGGGGTGAGGACATCGCATGCTGTCCAAAGCAGTGCAGCCAAGAGCAAGCAAACCTGCGCAGCGCAGGGTCAGACTCTGACCGAGCGTTTGGAGTTCTTTCTTCAATTCACATTGCATGTGCTGGAATGTAAGCCCCTTTCGGCTCAAATCTTGAATTTCTTTCTTGGGGCGGGGAGTTTTGTAGTTGCGCAGTTCCAGGGGTGCACGTCTGGGCGCACCCGGTGCACTCTTGACGCCGCGGCTGTTTGTAGGGTGCCATAGGGGGCCTCCTTTCCTCGGTGCCTGAGGTTACCCCGTTTTCATCGATCGCTGGCTTGGACAGCACTATTCAGCAAAGTGACCGATTGTTAGCTGTGCTCTTGGAAAAACCGCGAATTTCCGGCGAGCAATTGGCATAGACTGGATAGTGCTGGCGCAGTTTCGTGAAATTGCCTTTAGCTTTTTCCCTTCTCTGCTGTGATTCGCTCGAAGTTATTATTTGCATGCTGTTTTTGGGACGAAGACTGTGGATATGCCTGGCAGCTAGCCTGTTGCTTCAAAGG